CAGGTGCAAGTGGTGGTTGCTGCCCTGATTGCCTCTCAGGAGCAGGGGGAGGTGGAGAAACCCTCAGGGGTGATTGGGGCTGGCAGCCACTGCTTGCACCCGCTGATGGCGCTGAGCGATCAGGATCAGTGCCGGGCACTGGCAGCGGGTGTGAGTGGCGGCTCCAGCGCCAGCTGTGGGTGCAAGCAGGGCTGGCACTGGCAGTGGGTGCAAGTGGCAGCTCAGGTGCTGGCAGTGGGTATGAGCGGGATCGTCGCCAGCAGCAGTGTAAGAGGTGGCTGCCAGCCCCAATTGCCCCTCAGGAGCAGGGGGAGGTGAAGAAGCCCGGTGGGGCAATCAGGGCTAGAAGCCACCTCTCGCACCTGCTGACGGCGCCGAGTGATCAGGGCTGGTGCCAGCAGCAGGTGCAAGTGCCAGGTGGGACCGTGGTGCACAGGAGCAAAGAATTTTCAGTAACCAACAGAGGCTTATCCCGATAGCTACTGGTGCCCTGCCTTGGTCTGGGGCCCCACTCACCTGCTCCACCATCCCACTGTGGCCAAAGCCCAACATGTTCCACACTCTGCTGCCTGCTGCCAATGCCTGCCATGTTCCACCTGCGCCCCCTGGTGGTCAGCGCATGTCACAGAGACCAGTTGTTCGGTTGTTCCTCTGTTCAGTCTATTTGCATATTAGGGTTTTATATATATAGACCAGCGGTTCTCAACCTGTGGGTAGTGACCCCTTTGGGGGTCAAACGACCCTTTCATAGGGGTCGCCTAAGACCATCAGAAAGCATATATAATTACATATTGTTTTTGTGATTAATCACTATGCTTTAATTATGTTCAATTTGTAACAATGAAAATATATCCTGCATATCAGATATTTACATTAGGATTCATAACAGTAGCAAAATTACAATTATGAAGTAGCAAAGAAAATAATTTTATGGTTGGGGGTCACCACAACATGAGGAACTGTATTAAAGGGTGACGGCATTAGGAAGGGTGAGAACCACTGATATAGATGAGTGGGTTACCAATGAGATCAACAAAGAAATCAAAAATTTCATGAAAACAAAGGAAAATGAACACACAACAACCCCAAATCTCTGGGACACAGCAAAAGCAGTCCTGAGAGGGAAGTTCATAGCACTAGAGGCCTACCTCATCAACAATAAACTATTTAACCCTACAGCTTAAAGAACTGGAAAGGGAACAACAAGAAAACCCAGAGTAAGTGGGAAGGAAATAATATAGGTTAGAGCAGAGGCCTGGCTGGTTTGGCTCAGTGGATAGAGCGTCAACCTTCGGATTGAAGGGTTCCAGGTTTGATTCCAGTCAAGAGCACATGCCTAAGTTGTGGACTCAATACCCAGTGGGGGTCGTTCAGGAGGTGGCCAATTGATGATTCTATCTCATCACTGATATTTCTATCTCTCTCTCCCTTCTCCCTTCCTCTCTGAAATCAATAAAAAAATATTTTAAAAAGATTAGAGCAGAAATAAATGATATAGAGACTAAAAAAAAAAATACAAAAAAATCAATGAAACCAAGAACTGGCTGTTTGACAGGATAGACAAAATTAATGAACTGTTAGCTAGATTCATGAAGAAACAAAGAGTGAGGACCCAAAGAATTGTAAGGAAATACTATGAACAACTATATGCCAACAAATTGGACAATGCGGATAAAACGAACAAATTCCTAGAAAATACAATCTCCCAAAACTGAATCAGGAGGAATCAGAAAACCTGATTAGGCCAATAACAACTGATGAAATAGAAGCAGTAATAATAATAATAAAAAACCCCAAAGCCCAGCAAACAAAAGCCCAGGTCCAGACAGCTTCACAGGAGAGTTTTAGCAAACATTCAAAGAAGAACTAACACTATACTTCTCAAACTATTCCAAAAAAATCCAAGAGGAAGGAACGCTTCCAACCTCTTTTTATGAGGCCAGCATTACCCTAATTCCAAAACCAGATTAAGACACTACAAAGAGGGAGAATTACAGGCCAATATCCCTATGAACATAGATGCTAAAATCCTCAACAAAATATTAGCAAATCGGATCCAGCAATATATTAAAAAGATCATACACCATCACCAAGTGGGATTTATTCCAGGGAAGCAAGGCTGGCACAATATTCACAAATCAATAAATGTGACACATCACATAAACAGATTGAAAGACAAAAAGCACATGATCATATCAATAGATGCAGAAAAAGCATTTGAGAAAATGCAAATCCCATTTTTGATAAAAACTCTCAGCAAAATGGGAAGAGAGGGAGCATATCTCAACATGATAAAGGCCATATATGACAAACCTACAGTGGACATCGTACTCAATGGGCAAAAGCTAAAACCATTTCCCTTAACAACAGTAACAAGACAGGATGTCTGCTTTCACCACTCTGATTCAACAGAGTACTGGAAGTCCTAGCCACAGTGATCAAACAAGAAGAAGAAATAAAAGGCATCCAATTTGGAAAGGAGAAAGTAAAACTCTCTTTACTTGCAGATGACATGATATTGTATATAGAAAACCCTAAAGACCCCACCAAAAAACTTCTAGATTTAATAAATGAATTTCGCAATGTAGCAGGATACAAAATCAACACCCAAAAATTGATGGATTTTTTATATGCCAATAATGAATTCTCAGAAAGAGAAACGAAACAAGCAATCCCATTTACCATTGCAACAAAAAAATAAAAAATGTAGGAATAAACTTAACCAAGGAGGCAAAAGACCTGTATTGGGAAAACTACAGGAAGTTGAAAAAAGAAAGAAAAGAAGATATAAACAAGTGGAAGAATATACCATGTTCATGGATTGGTAGAATCAACATCATTAAAATGTCCATACCCAAGGCACTCTACAGATTCAATTCAATTCCTATTAAAATACAATGGCATATTTCACAGATCTAGAACAAATACTCCAGAAATTTATATGGAACCCCCAAAGACCCTGAATAGCTGCAGCAATCTTGAGAAAGAAGAAAGTTGGAGCAATCACAATACCAGATCTCAAGTTATACTACAAAGCCACCGTAATCAAAACAGCCTGGTACTGGCACAAGAACAGGCATATAGAGCAATGGAGCAGAACAGAGACCCCAGAAATCAACCCAAGCCATTATGCTCAATATTTGACAAAGGAGGCAAGAGCATATAATGGAGTCAAGACAGTCTCTTCAATAAATGGTGTTGGGAAAATTGGACAGATATATGCAAAAAAATGAAACTAGATCACCAATTTACACCATACACAAGAATAAAATAAAAATGGATAAAAGACTTAAATGTAAGTTGTGAAACCATAAAAATCCTAGGAGAAACCATAGGCAGCAAAATCTCAGACATCTCTCATAGCAGTATGTTTATGGATACATCTCCTAGGGCAAAGGAAACTAAGGAGAAAATAAAGAAATGGGACTATGTCAAAATAAAAAGCTTCTGCACAGCAAAAGAAACCATCAACAAAATGGAAAGGGAGCCCACTGTATGGGAAAACATATTTGGTAATGATACATCTGATAAAGGGTTAATATAAAAAATATATTAGAAAGTTATACAACTTAACAGAAGAAGATAAACAATCCAATTAAAAAATGGGCAAAGGACCTAAATAAATACTTCTCCAAAGAGGGCATAGAGATGTCCAAGAGACATGACAAATGCTCAAAGTCACTGATCATCCAAGAGATGCAAATTAAAACCACAATGAGGTATCACCTCACACCTGTCAGAATGGCTAGCATCAACAAATCAACAAGGGACAAGTGCTGGCGAGGATGTGGAGAAAAGGGAACCCTCATGCACTGCTGGTGACAATGCAGACTGGTGCAGCCATTATGGAAAGCAGTATGGAGTTACCTCAAAAAATTAAATATGGAACTCCCATTTGACCCAATGATCTCACTACTAGGATATAACCTAAGAAACCCGAAGCACTAATCAGAAAGAATGTATGACCCCTATGTTCATAGCAGCACAATTTACAATAGCTAAGATCTGAAAACAGCCCCAGTGCCCATCAGTAGATGAGTGGATAAAAAGTTGTGGAACATTTATACCGTGGAACACTATGCAGCAGTAAAAAAGCAGAATCTCTTATCCTTTGAGACAGCATGGAGGGACCTGGAGAGTATCATGCTAAGTGAAATAAGCCAGTCAGAGAAAGACAAGTATCACGTGATCTCACTCATATGTGGAATATAAGTAACAAAATAAACTGATGAACAGAGTGGACCCAGAGACTCAAAGCTTGGAAAAGAGTGTGGAATCTTGGAGGGAAGGTGGGGGAGGGTGAGTGGGTGCATGTTTGGCGGTCCCCCTAATAAACATGCTGTCTTGGGTTTGTAGGGGGTCATAACCGCACTTGGCGGGGCCGCACATTCAGGCTACGTTTTCCAGGTGGGCAACCCAGGCTCCTTATCAGACCCAGAGAAGCCAGGTTTCCGTCCAAACCGGGTCCTCAAACAAACAACTGCCGGCCGACCTTTACTTGCAGACGGAAAGTTTCTGTGGGAGAGCTCCTGCCCGACTGCCCACAGCTCTGCAGACTGCGCCGGGTGCTGGGTTCTGGGCACTAACAGGCATTGCGTTACATGACTAACTCCCGTGGGGCACAGCGCCAATATCGCGGGCCGCGTCTGCACCTTCACCCTCATGGCCGGAGAACAGCCTCCACAAGCTTCCCCAGTCGCATCCTCACTCGTTCCCGTCTGCCTCCGCCCGAGGGGGCATGGATGCAAGCCCCGCCCCCGCCCCAGGCCCCGCCCCTGCCCACAGGCCCCCGCCCACCACCGCCCTCCCGCAACAGGCCTCGCCACTGCTTCAGGCCCCGCTCATCCCCGCCCCGGCCACAGGCCCCGCCCCTCCCACTATCTCAGGCCCCGCCCCGCCCCTTCTGCCTTAGGTCCGCAGACGCCCGGCGCGCTCCCCCGTCGCACGGCGCCTTTCTCTGACGTAGCCTCGGCCCCGCCCCGCCTCGGGTCGCGCTGTGCCCGCCCTCCAGCCGAGCGGCGGCTCCTGAGGCGGCGGCGGTGGTGGTCGCGGTCCCTGCCCAGCCGCTTCCGCCCGCTGTGGTCCCTGGTCAGCGCGGCGGCCACCCAGCCCCTCGGGCCGGCGGGCGATGGTGCGGCGGGGCGCGCGGACGCGGGCATGACGGAGGATGGAAGCACAGGACGAGGTGTCGGCGCGGGAGCAGCACTTCCACAGCCAAGTGCGGGAGTCCACGGTGAGCGCCGGCGGGGCGCCGGCCCGCCCCTGCGGCCCCCACCCTGTGCCCCTTCCCTGCGCCCCCGCGGCCGCCTCCCCTAGGCCACCTGCGCCGGCCGCCCGGCCCCGCCCCTTCTGCGCGCCCACCCGCCCTCTCCTGCGCGCAGTCGCCTCGAGTCACCTGCCTTCGCGGGCAGCGCTGCGGGACCACCTGCGCCCGCACCGCCGCGGCTCTAAGTGGGCCGGTGGCCGGGCCGGCGGGCAGACAGGTGTGCGCGCATCCCCGCTCCGCCCCTCAGCGGCGGCCTCGGCCCCACTTGCTGTCAGGCCGAAACCTGCTGTGGGTGGGAAGACGGCGGATTGGAGGGGAGGCAGCTCCTCGGGAGGCCACCCTTTCTCGTCCCGGTTCGGTCTGCGCTGCTGCCCGCGGTCCGGAACCGGCGTGGCCTCGGGAGCCTGCTCTGATGCTCTGCCTTTTCATGGTGCACGGAACACAGTGTCGTGCTATTTGTGTTTGCAGGACGGCAAAGACACAACAACTTCACGCAGTGGCACTGGCCTTTCTAACTTCTCTCGGATTGTCACACTTGGTTTGAGGTGAAACATTGTGGTTTACAGTGGCCTCATGCGTGTAGTTATTGATCTTGAAAATTGAGAATCACTTTGCCAAGTCATGTTCTGGAATTAAGAGGAGATGCAAAGTCTGAGCTGGTGGAATTTGACACAGTACATTTAGTTTAGTGTTTAAATTGAAGCTAAAATGAGAAGTGCACAATCATACATGAACGGCTTGAAGCATTTCACATGTGATTGAGAAAGGCTGTGACGGGCGTCTGGAGGCCCATCCCTACCCCTTTCCCGTCACTCTCGTCTAGCTCCTGGACAGTAACCCCTCTCCTGGCTTTAATAGGTTAGCCTTGCTTAGTTGTGAACTTGGATATAAACGGAATCTCTTCGTATGCACTTTGTGTCTAGTTTCTTTCATTGAACAATGTCTGTGCAATTTCTCTGTATTATATGTGGTTGTAATCCATTCAGCTGTAGCTGTGAGATAGTAGCACAGTTCATGTTTGTTTTGCTGTTGGTGCACACTCCCTGGTTTTGGCTCCGAATATTCTTGGACATATCTTTTGGTGAACATGGCTGTGCATTTCTGTCGGGTAGATACCTAGGAATGAGACCACTAGGTTACATAGGCTTGCACTTATTACAACACAGTATTTTCTGCCCTTTTTATTTATTTATTTATTTATTTATTAATTAATTATATTTTTATTGATTTTAGAGTGAGAGGAAGGGAGAGGAAGAGAGAGAAGCATCAATCGGCTGCCTCCTGAAGGCCCCCTAATGCTAATTGAGCCAGCAACCCGGGCATGTGCCCTGACTGATTCTTGGAGACCTCTTGGTTCACGGGCAGTAATCTGCCAACTAAGCCACACTGGCTAGGGCTTCTGCCCTTTTAAATATTAGCTACTCTAATGTGTCATAGTATTTATTGCATGAAAGGTTTTACTTGCATTTCCCTGATGATCAATGCATTTGAGAACCTTTTCAAAAATTTATTGGTCATTTGGAAATCTTTTGTGTCTTCAAGTCTTTTTCCCATTAGTTTGTTTATCTTTTTAATATTGATTTACAAGAGTTTTTTATTCGAGATATGACACTTTGGTCAGAGAAATATATATAGCGACCCCGCCCCCCCCCCCCCCCATTGTGTTGATATTTTCTGATGAGCAGAAATTCTTAATTTTAATATGGCTTACTTTATTAATTTTTTTCTTTTATTGTCAGTGCTTTTTTTATAAAATATATTCCATTGACTTTTCTACAGAGAGGAAGGGAGAGGGATAGAGAGTTAGAAACATCGATGAGAGAGAAACATCGATCAGCCGCCTCCTGCACACTCCCTACTGGGGATGTGCCCGCAACCAAGGTACATGCCCTTCACCGGAATCGAATCTGGGACCCTTGAGTCTGTAGGCCGACACTCTATCCACTGAGCCAAACCGGTTAGGGCAGTGCTTTTTTGTTTTATGTTCCATTTAAGAAATCTTTGCTTAATCCAAGGTTATGAGGATGTCTCTTGTGCTTTTCCCTAAGTGCTTAATCGATTTGCTCTTCCCATTGAGATCTGAGTTCACCTTATGTGTGCTGTGGAGTAGGAGTCATACGTGTTTCTTCACATGGATGTCCAATTGTTTAAGCACCATTATGAGCTTTGTCACAATTTAGGTAACTGTATATTTGTGGGGCTTAAGTTTGGACTCGATGCTGTTCCATTGGTCTATTTGTTTTTTTTTTGCTTTATTTTTAATTAATTAGGTATTATGTCATTTGGATTGAGATCTCATGTTATAGTAGCCAGGAGCTTTATTACTTTGTCTGCGCCACCCCTTAACTATCACATCAGTCAGGTTTCTGTATGATAACAAGGGGTTAGAGTCAGACTCTATTTAAGAAGGAGTCTCTAGAGAAAATCAAAGGCAACGGGGGCAACAGAAACAAGAACACTAGAGGAAATTCTAGCCTCTGATGCCCACAGTGACATCTGACAGTAAACACAGCCCGACTCACAGCTAGATACATAAAGCCTCACAGTGTAGGTGTACTTACTTCAGTTCTTTTTACCTTATACGTAATGCCTGACTTTCAACAAAAACAGTACAAGGTATATTAAAAAGCAAAACACAGTCTCAAGAGACAAAGCAAGCATCAGAACTAGATTCTGGTATGACAGAGATTTGGGAATTATAAAGCCAGAATTTAAAATAACTGATTAATATGCTTAGGGCTCTAATGGAAAAAAATGCATGAAAGATTTTACTTGCATTTCCCTGATGATTAATGCATTTGAAATGGAAACTCAAAAAGAATGGTAGAAGTAAAGTAAACTGTAATAGAAATGAAGAATGCCTTTAATGGGCTTATCAGTTGACTGCACAGGACCAAAGAAAGAATGAGTGAGCTAGAAGATATGTCAATACACACTGTCCAAACTGAAAAGCAAAGAGCAAAAAAAGAGGTTAAAAAAGGGAACAGAACCGCCAAGAACTGTAGGATAATTACAAAAGGTATAATCTACATGTATTGGAAATGCCAGAAAGAGAAGCACACAGAAAGGAACAGGAGAGATATTTGAAGCAACAATGCCAGATAATTTTCCTAAAATTAATACAGATACCAAACCACAGATCTAGCAAGCTCAGAGACCACCAATGAGGACAGATACCAAAAAATCTACATCTAGGCATATCATCAGACTGCAGAAAATTAGAGACAAAGAGAACAGAGGAAAGAAGGCAGGGCAACAAAAGCACCTTACAGAATAGAGGATCAAGAATAAGAATTATATCAGATTTCTCTTCAGAAATCATGCAAGCAAGAAAGAGAGGAGTGAAATATTTAAAATGTTAATAGGGGAAAAAAACCCCCACATAAATCAACCAACCTAGAATTCTGTATCTAGCAAAATTAATCATCTATAATAATAAAAGTGTAATATGCTAATTAGACTGGACGTCCTTCCGGACGAAGCTGGGGCTGCAAGGGAAGCCCGAGTCCCGGGTGCCAGAGGGAAGCCAGTGCTGGCAGCAGGGGGAAGGAAGACCTACTCTTGCATGAATTTTGTGCATCGGGCCTCTAGTGTAAATGAAAGGAGAAATAAACACTTCCTCAGACAAACAAACATTAAGGGAAGTTGTTGCTAGTAAAGCTGATACTAAAACCAGATAAAGACATTGAACAAAGGAAAACTACAGACTGCTATCGCTCATAAAGATATTGAGTATAGATGCACAATTCTGCAAGAAAATATTAGCAAGCTGAATTCAACAGTATACAAAAGGAATTACACACCTATACCCGGGGGATGTGTCCTAGGTATGCAAGGCTGGCTCAACATTAGAAAATCACTTAATGTAATCCATTACATTGACAGGACCTTTTTATTTATACACTAGAGGCCCAGTGCACAAAAATTTGTGCACTCAGGGGTGTCCCTCAGCCCGGCCTGTGCCCTCTTGCAGTCTGGGACCCCTTGGGGGATGACCACCGGCTGGCTTAGGCCTGCTCCCTGGAGGATCGGGCCTAAGCTGGCAGTCAGACATCCCTCTGGCAGCCCGGGAGTCTTCGGAGGATGTCCACTTGCCAGCGGGGAGCAGGCCTAAGCTGCAGTCGGACATCCTTAGCTCTGCTGAGGAGGCGGGAGAGGCTCCCACCACCACCGCTGTACTGGCAGCCGTCAGCCTGGCTTGTGGCAGAGCAGAGCTCCCCCTGTGGGAGCGCACTGACCACCAGGGGGCAGCTCCTGCATTGAGCATCTGCCCCCTGGTGGTCAGTGTGTGTCATAGTGACCAGTCATTCCCAGTCGTTCTGCTGTTAGGGTCAATTTGCATATTACCCTTTTATTATATAGGAGAGCCTGGCCAGCCTGGGTGAGGTGCTGATGGCTGTTTGCAAGCTTGCCACAGCCCCTTCAGGGTGGGGGTCCCCACTGGGGTGCCTGGCCAGCCTGGGTGAGGGGCTGAGGGCCATTTTCAGGCTGGCCACAGCCCCTTCAGGGTGTGGGGGGGTCCTGCTGGGGTGCCTGACCAGTCTGGGTGAGTGGCTGATGGCAGTTTGCAGGCTGGCCAAGCCCACCAGTAGGGACCCTCATCCCATGAGGGTGTGGCCATCCTGGGTGAGTGCCTGATGGCTGTTTGCAGGCTGGCCACAACTCCCAGCCACCCAAGCTCACAGTGGAGGCTGGCTGGAAGCAGGTATCTGGGATTTGTTTTATCTTCTATAATTGAAACTTTTGTTGCCTTGAGCGGAGGCCACAGCTGGCTCAGGGCTGGTGGGAAGCTTGGCTTCCTCCATCGCCGGGGCAACCGAGCCTCCTGCTTGCTCTAGCCCCGTGGCTGCTGACCGCCATCTTGGTTGGGTTAATTTTCATATAGTCACTCTGATTGGCTGGTGGGCATGGCTTAGGGCATAGCGAAGGTATGGTCAGTTAGCATCTTTGTCTTTTATTAGTGTAGA